TCCTGCATATATTATAGTTCAAATAAACTGCCATCTCCACATTCCATCTATGCCATATTGGAAATGTGGAAGGGCCAATGAATGGGCTTTTATGTTAAAAGTAAAATAGTTGGGTAAAAATGTGTTAAAAATAGTAGTGTTTTTACACAATAAATACACAAATATGGACAAACTAAGGAGATTTCAGCCATTGTTTCTCGTGGCCAACAGCGTAGGCCACAGCCCATAAAATCCCATCTGGCAGCACGATAGCGGAAAACTCTACAATTTGTGTATAGGTGTGAGTGAAGTTATTGTGTAAAGTACTAAATAAACGTTTTTTACCCAATTATTTTACTCTACCATGAAGGCCATTTTCATTTTTGCAGGAAGTGCAGAGTAGGTGCAATGAGGAGGTTATTCGATAGGCTGTATGCAGGATGTAACACTACCTGTCTTTAAAGTCCCCCGAACTATACCGAGGACATAGATGGACAATGTTGATCAAATCAATAGACCAACAGTGCGAATTGCAGTAGAAAAAGTTTCAATTTTGAAATTAACTTGAGCAGAAGGAAGAGAATTCCAATATGGAATGACAGAAACGAAGAAGTTGAACTTTTAAAAGGGATCCTTTAAGTATGACACATGTCGAAAGCAGAGATCAGGCTCACATCATCGAGTGCTACGAATGGGCTTCATTACGAGGGAATACCAATCTTCACCTGATCTTGTCGCATTCATGCAGTATCGCATTTAACAGTGCCACAAGTGGTACACTACGATTTGTGTACTTTACACAACAAAACCACAGTGCATTACCATTTATTGTTGCAGTTTCTTAAAGAGGTACAGTTATTTGACTTATGCACCTTATATGAATCAGCATTTAATCAGCATTTCACTTTTTAACCCGCCGAGTCTAAATAAGGTCTATGCTTGTTATTTTGCTGTGTGTATACACAGTTGATATGCGCCATGGTACCAAGTTGTTGCAGTTTTACTAACAATAGCAGTTGTGGTTGAATGTGCAAGTAATGTACCGTATATATACTCGCGTAATAACCGCAAATTTGGCCTCAGATTTCAACCCTGTATTTGCTCTGCGGTTTATAAGTGCGCCGTACCGTGAGGGGAAATATACTAGGCGCAATACTTGGTTACTCGATTCATCAAATTGAGGTGCGGCTTATAGGCGCCCGCGGTTATTACGCGATCATATACGGTAGGGGTATCTAAATGTAACTGGCCATGTAAGTTGTAACCATTCACAATTATGCAAGCTATGTAATTTAAAGAGGATTGACTCATAATAAGATGATAGGTTATGGTCATAATTCAGTCTGTCCAGTGAAAGAAGGCAGAAAGTCTACTGTCAACTTTAATTGCTAACTTTTATACCGTGCCTTTCTGGCCACTGGTACAATTTGAGTTCAAATGTGAAACTATCATATTAGTTGCATGTAATAATCTAGTCCTTTTCTTTTATTAATATGGTAACATTTCATAAACTGCTTGTTACAAATTAATAACAGCTTGTCGAATGGCAAGAGCATATGTCCGTCTGTCTGTCAACAATATCGGTAGAAATCCAAACGGCTTGATATACGGTGGTGATGTTCAGGACTTGAGAAGCCAATCCAAAATGACATTGGGAGGTCGAAACTGGGGTCAAGTGTAAATGGTCAAGTGGTGTAATGGAAGGGGGAAATCACACTTTAACTTAAAAGAATTATCTCATAAATAACTGCACAATCAAGAAACGTACGTGTAGCAAAATATATTCTCACCTAATTAATAGCAAATATTTTACTGATTAGTAAAACATGAAACATGTATATAGTAGTCTGACATAGTAGTTATAGACTGGTACAACCTATCTTTGGTGCTTAAAGGGATCCTTTACTCTAGGTTCTAGGGTTATTTTCAGTTAATTTAGGTTAAAATTATGCTACATAAAAAGTTTTTTCTTATGTTTTAAAACTAACGACTATAGTTTGATTACAACGACGGTGGCGCCACTCAAAGCGCACGATCTGAAAAGTTGCGCAAAACGACTTTTCAGCCAAGGGCTACAGACCGAGGGTGTTTCTTATTTATTAATTTAAAAGCAAATGGATTTCCTTAAATCATATTATTTATGAGATACATTCCATACTGCAGATTCTAATAGAATTTCCATTGATATCATAGAACCCAGCATATGTCCCGAATTTTCTAACCACATATCTATATCTATGTAGAGAGAGAATATAAAACTTGATGATAGCTAGATTAGCTACCACCATCTCCTTTATTTTACAGACTTCTGTCTGCGTAAGTGCATGCGTGCGTGCATATACATATTATTATATATATATTTATCTGATCTATATATATATATATATATATGCGTGTGTGTATATGTTGTATAATGTAGCACATCTGTTATTATTTAGCCCTGGTATATATTAACATTTTAAAATGAAGAATGCCGTCCTACGGTCCTATGCTGTCATATATATATACAAAGACGGGAATTAAAATATGGGTTACACGTGGGCTCAATGTGATGATACCATGAACATACCTGTAACTTGTACTCGAATACCTGATAATATATGTTCATCATAATGCTGAAAACAATATTTCACAGTATGTATTATAATATTCATAGAGATGCATGTAAACAGGAGTCTATCAACAGGGGTCTATCAATATTGATAGACTCCTGATGTAAACAATGACCTAATAGCTAAATCGTCTTAGAGACCAACAATAGCCTTCCGGAAGCAATTTCCTTTATTAAAACGTTACCAAAAGGCATTTGAACGATAAGATTTTATTTATTGATGGCCAGTCACAGCATGCACCTTTTCCATGGGGATGTCAGAATTTGTTTGCACCGAGTTGATCGATTCTGCCAACAATGCCACGTGCTCCGACAATGCCATGCGCAAACGAGCTTAAGGCCCATGGACATTCTTTTCAGTGTAGATACAGCCTAAGAATCGCAGTGCTTAAATATTCTTTCTCTTGTTAAATACAGAGTGTGCACTGTACAGAGCTAGTAGAAATTATAAGTATATGCAGCTACAGACAGCATTTGTATGTATAACTAGTACTAAATATTATGTGATTCATTACTCATTTATTCTCTGTCTGTACTAATCATTGGCACCCATAAGGATTCTGTCTTTTTGAGATTTAAACCTAAATGTCTAGTAGTTTATGCTAGTAGTCGTAATATAAATTGCGATAACATTCGATAGTGGAATTTATAGCTGACAGTTGAGTTGGATATGTAATTAATTATTGAATTTCAGGTGAAAATAAATTAGAGTAATAATATACTGGACAGCAGGTGTACATATATCATTACCCAAGTTGTACACGTCTTCTCTATGTTGGAAAATAAAGATGTGCTTGAACGAGTTGGTAACATTGTTGAGTGATTTTTAATGTACAAGTTAAAATGACTTTCACATAAATTTACCAACCAGTGAATGTTGTGGTGTATGACGCCAAGTAAGATTTCCCGCCCCACTGCATGGCGATTGCAGTGACCAATTCTTTGTAGGTGATTAATAATGTGTGTTATCAACTTCATAAGTGTTGAATAATGAATGAGCATTCAATTAGTAATGGCACTGGTCTCCTGTGGCGCTCCCACTCATTATTGATTGTGATCGGTCAGGTTTTCAGTGTGCATTAGTGGACCTCAGGTAGTGGAAGGTGCGGCAGAGGCTTTCGTGTTTGCGCTCACACGTAGCGGCTTTGATTTTTCACCATTCATCAAAATGCCTATGGATAACATGGACGGGGTATTGTATATATGTATTTAAGTGTTGGCGAATGAGAGAAAAGTAGGGGTTAGCGCGTGAGATAATGTATGGGTGAGAGTGAGGGAGGATCTTTAAGTTTACAATGCTTTGCTCTATGATTATGCCCGAGTCGTGTGTGTATGAGTAGGATGTGCGGGAGATGCTCTCTCGCTAATCACTGTGTGGACTTTCAGGTGCAAGATCTACTGCAGGGAATGCAGGACAAGTTTCAAACGATGTCGGACCAAATCATCAACAGAAATATCCTTTTATCACAGCAACTATTGCGTTTGGGTAGCTGTGTCTCGTACCGCCTCACACAAATTCTATTGGCAGTAATTTGTCTAGTGTTTATAGAATGGAGGTGATGGGTCTCGTATGTATGCACCGATTGTAGAGTGATTCAGTACTGCGGTCAGTCAACTCGTGATCAGTTGGTGGTGATGTAGACCTGTGATACTAGATTTCCTTAGCACTGCACACTAGATGAGATGGGCAAGCGAATAGATGACCTAGAAAAGAACATAGCTGACCTTATGACTCAAGCTGGGGTAGACGGAATTGAAAAGTAGAGGTAAGGTGTTTCTCCTGCTTGGGAATGTTTGTTTTGCTGCGAATTGCAACCACAATTATTATTGCACCCGACTGAGCACATAACTGGCACGATATACCCGGTTATTTTTCTAAGAGGGAATGGGGAAATATACATTTGTTTGTCCCACCATTTTTCTACTCTCACATCCAGATGGCAGGGTATCTGCTTATCCGTTTTAGCTGTTAACCTCACGGAGACAGGTTCGCAGGGGCTCTGGCGTGAACCTGAGTCTGAGTCACACGCGGCGTAGATGAATATCTGAGTTGACTCATTAGGAGTAAAGCACTGCTCGCTTGCACCATGGTAATTGATCGCCATATGTTCGTTTGCAGCATCAAATGCCCAATGGAAGTACGAATGCACACGTTGGCACAATTCTCTCTGCTATGATTTGACATAATACTCGAGAAGCGATTGCTAGATTCGAGTATTACTCTGTACGAGTACAAAAGGGTGAAAATAGGGAAGCAGTAGTGCATATCTAGCAGTGGTGATTTGATAATCATGATTCCATTTAACGAATGCAATTACAGTTAGTCTGCGTTTTGATTAGCGTACCTTAACCCATAACTCATCAAAATTCAGCATGATTGAATTTACAGTGTTTCAATAAATTACATTGCAGAGCAAGAAAATCAGACAAAGCCTCTGCTGCAACGAATGTAAAAACGTCAGGTAAAGCAAAATACACACCAATAGCTACAGCATTTAATCAAATGTCTCGGGCAGTGGCTCGGGTAGTTTACATTTTAGCTACACTCGACAATAATGTATGTAGCATGCGTTTATTACTTCTATTAGTCACTCTAGCATGACAGACAGTCGGGTTTATTGTTGCTCATTAGACATTAGATGTAAAATCTATAGCTGCTCGCGTTTATCTGCACTACTTCATGGATTCCTGTTACACGGGGTGTTGGTGGATAGTTGCAATAAAACATGAACTTGCCACCAGCGATTCATTACTTACTCACATAAATACATTTCGTTTGTTCTAACTAATCTAGTTAGCAGGTCTTTACAGTTTACGTGCTGTCTTGTATTCACAGTGAAAGTGAGTGCCCATGTTTGAATCGCGTCGCTGCCGTCGCACCTTCCTCACCCTCATCATCAGCGGACATCGTGAAGGCTAGGCATTGAGGACAGTCTGGATGGTACACTCCCTCTTCCATGCCTAGAAATGGAAGAATGGGCCTCTGCCACAACAGGCCGACATCCACAACTGTTTGGCTGCACGTAACAACCGGGGTTAATTTTCTCATTTTCTATGAACGTTTTTCACTTCATCATGCCAAAATTCTGGCTTATTTCACTAAAGTGATCGCAACAAGAAGAGAAAGATTGAATGTTGTGTCTAGTCCATTCCAGTGTTTGCATCGCGTTGTAATACACCTGATCATAGTATTAGAGTCAAGCTGTACCACTTAAGACCCCCCGGGGACTTTGTCCCCGTGACGTTTCCACTGTTGCCGTTGCACTTATTCGTGCTTACCTATTGCTTTGATTCAGCATGTGAAATCCACTCTGCAAAATACTGCACATTGTTTCAGTGTTGTGGGTAAAATTCTTAGTGCACTGCACCAGGGGTCTGGTCGTTAATGACTCCTCGCTGGCAAGTGCCGACCCGCCTGTAATGATTTCCTGATTGATTTACCTGTTGAATAATTAATTGTTCGCTCTCAGTCTCTTTAATAATTTAATTAGTGTGGAGGTAGAATTGCTTGTTAATAGTTTTTGCTTTTATACCAGTGTATGTATGTGCAGTCTCCAGATTTTTTCTTCTGGTTGTCTTTTTTCCCGTTAAAAATATTTTTGATTAACACAAATTTGGACCGGAACCGAGTGCTTTAAATACTGCATCAGATATTGGGGAACTCACTTAACATTTATAAAATGATCGAAACATTGTGTTAAAGTAATTACTAGATCATGCATCAGTATAAATATTCTGTAGCACCTTACCACTTACACTAAGGCTAATATTCACATTGTTTTAAGAAATTTGTTATGCACCTTCGTTTTAATTTTGTCGAGTATATGTGTATAACAGTATTATTGTTAATTTAGTAGCACTATGTGAAACTCTAATAATACCACTTGACCATCAGGCATCTCAACATAACGATACTAGCAAGGGTTCATAAACATTGGCGATGTAGTTCTCATACATCATCCTCGGCATCATGTGCACTGAGACAGATGAGCGTTTACCAACTGATCATTACAGGTCAAGTAATAAATAATTTGTGATTACTACAACGGCTGCAGTTATTTTTGTATTTTTGTTCTTGTCTTGTATTGGTTATAATTAGTTATTTGTTTACCATACCAAAGTTTTAGACTTTAACATAGCAACATTTGCGATGTATATAAACATGATTACTGATTGCCACATAGTTGAACGTGCTTGCATGTGATTTCATCATCCAATTCTTACAGGCAATATAACTATTAATACGAGGTGAACCCATGTACGGTCTGTATATTTTATTACATAAACCCAAATTCCAAAACTGCTTTATAATTTGCATACTAGACAAAGCCTAGAATACAGAAACACCAGTCCATGCACATCAAGGAAAAACAACAATCATCTTACACGACTATAATAGCATCACCTAATATTCTTATCAATTACAGAAGCCAGTGCTTGTTGCTGGCACAAGGTGGCACAATTTGCACAAGTAATTAAGCAATTAATTACATAAACTCTTACATGTGGTCTGTGGTAACAATTTCGCATGAAGTCTAAAGTTAGCACAGCTGCTCAAAAGTACTGTAAAATTATGCAGATTATGCACAACACAAGCACTGTTTTACTAGCATCACGAATTGCTAAAGTAATTCTTTATTCACACAACTTTAATCAACTGATACACTGCAACCTTCTTGACTGTCTCGGATTTCTTTCTGCAAGTCTGCCAGGCCTATCCCAGGTGGCTGACTGCAAATGACCCGTGTCAGACTATAGCCTAAGATTTCTAGTTTTGACCCACAACTGTCTCTAGTGTTCTGCTGCCATCAAAATCGGTCTAAATAATCCTGCTGAGAGCAACGTCTGTACTTTAGATAAAAAAAATAAACCTTAGTGATCTGTTTTTCAATAAACTAACACAAGTCACATAATAACATCTGTGAAAATGAAGTAACAAAGTACCCAAATTTCCAGGAGAGTGGTAGGTATAGATATACAGCTTCACCCTTATGGCACACGCCCGAGCAGGGTAAAATGTAGGGCGAGCATTCTTATATTTTTTTACATTTTTATTCTTAACTTTCGCATTCATTCACGGTTTTATATATAGACATAAATAGATCAATACAATTATGTACTTAATACTAGTGCACATTACTTTCTCGATATAGGAAAACTCGCTCAATGAACTGCAGAAGAAAGTACAACCACGCACCTACAGTGGCTCATATGGTCTATGTACCCCAGGGTACTGCCGGAACGTAACCTGGGTACGGTCCGGTATACCAGAACGTACCCTGGTCACTATTTGATATGGTTAGGGTTAGGCCAGGGTTAGGGAGGAGGCGTAGGCGACTCCCTAGACTCGTTAGTGGAGTAGGCGAGGTACGGTCCGGCATATTAGATAGTACCAGGGTACGTTCCGGTATACCGGACCGTACCCAGGGTACGTTCCGGCAGTACCCTGGGGGACATACCCTCTCAGCCAAACGCAACGTTAACAAAAGTGTTGGTCAAAATTACATAATTTTGCTGCTAGTATTGCCAGTGAAATGCCGAATATCTAATTTATTAAAAACTGACCTTTCTTGTCAAACTATATTGCAAATTATAAAATCATGTGCATCTAGGCTACATTGCTGCAGCATTCAACATGTGCAGTTTACAAGATGAAGGGGAAAACCAAATAATTAAATACAGACCAAGATATAAAACCATGTATGTGCTCATGGTACACAATCTATGCTCCTCCACCGATATACACCAATACAGATTTATCGCGTTTGAGAAAGCAAGTGCGTACATTTTCACGCTCAGTCCTGAGATGTAGGCAAACCAATGATGGAAATTATATACTTCACCGCACCGCACCCAGCACTTGCACAACAGGCAAAAAATTGGACCCAGTATTAAATATTAAATAGCTCTATCACTGCACTCGTGCGTCTACCACTCCACTGCTACATTTCTTGTATCGCAACAGATTTGAATGCAATCTCTAATGTTCATTGGAAGATATTAACACTAAGCCTGGTACAATTTGATACAACAAAACTACAACTGAACTTAATCTAGTGTTTTTCTTTCGATCAAACAGATTTGTGTTAATAATGGAAAAGTAAGAAAGATTATAGTATAAATCCTTCATATCTAAATAAATGCGTTGTGCATAAACGTAAGTATAATGGTAACATGTAGATAAAATAATTGTTTCCTTTCATTTTAATTTATTATGTGAATCAAAAAACAAACCTTACTTGTCAAGCAACAGTCACCACTTTAGACATTAATAACACTGGTGTTAATTTCACCGGCCATTCCAACACAAGAGAACCGTCCACACTCACGCCCTTACCGGATTAATGTGTATATGAATAAAAGGAGAAATAAAGCACAAGCTGTACACAAGACTAGCTGTACAATGCATATCTGGGTATTGAGGCATGACATATAAATGGGCAAAATACCCAAACTAAGTTTGCAAAAAAACACAACAGTGGTAAGTTAACTCAGTAAAACACAAGTTATTTTAACGGCACCTGATAAATGAGATTGCATGTGAGACCCATCTGACTGCGAATGTGCCTATATAATTAATCAGAGGAAAGCTTTGGGTGAATACCAGTCACTAAAAGATCTCTTGCGTAGTTAGTTATTCTTTACTTCACTAAATTCCCAGGGTTATTTCATTGAAACAGAAAACACAAAATCATGAAGCAATACAGTACACATTTCCAATTTGCTGTACTATATTTGCAAAAATTAATGTATGTATCTTTTACATTGTTCAATCTCATGAATAACCCCAGTTTTACCTTGATCGGCAATAGTACCTAATGCAGTTGGTCGTCACACATAAACCTGTTATATCTAGTTACTAAAAATCTACAGCAGATTTGAAGCGCTCTCTACGTTAATTTAGACCTTATCGCCATAGGACGATACACACACTAGAATTTTATACTTACACAGCACAAACACTTCGCTATCCACACCCCAGCCAATGGATTACATCACAGGAAGTAACAATTATAAAAAGCATTTTACAGGCTATCATCCTTCCCTAAGTGGCAAAGCTCTCAATACCACTATCCTGATAGACTGCACACAGAGTATTTACTAAAACTACCAGTGAAGTAAAGTTGTATTATGTATTATCATAATTACATACATGTATGAGAGCAGTGAATGACCAAAAAAGTGGCAGGCGCCCGCGCCGACGTCCAAGGGATCTCACCCGGAAACATTTTGGAAAAAATGAACACAGGAGAGCAATCGTGAGCTTTCCTGGGCATATAATACCCCATTTAATTTCCTCCAGTTATAGGACCCAAAATAGTAGCAATATTTTCCAGATTACTTTTGATCGTGCAGTATTTGAATGCTTTTACGATTCACTGGTAACAATCGTCAATCACTGACTAACCTCAACACGAATTAAGCAATTTCTCATTATGCTTGGAAAAATAATTAAAAAAGCGAAAATCCATGAATCCGCGAAAAATTCTCATGTATGTTAACAACTATAACAACATCATTATTACCTTCTGCCTACCCTGCTGATCTGCCTTCTGGATAATACAGGCAGAATGTTATATTTATTCTGTCGTGCCTGGCGAGCGAGGTGTATACAACATACTACATAGACATCAGTCCCACACCAACACACCTGAACAAAAATCGATAATCAACTTGGGTAAACTGATTGGTATGTCAGATCAGATGGTAAAAAGCAGGTTTCTGCTAAGCAAAATGTGTATAGCTAGTGTTATAACATGTATGCACTTCCATCCCAATCTCGGAGCTGCATCAACAGGGCATTCAGAAGGTATTAATTATTTTGTTGAATGGTATTCATGGTGTAATTTACTGTGACACAGTACCCTGCATGTTCTTACACACAATCTTCCTCTACTCTTCAAAGCAGTGTTCACATTGGTACCATTGCTTCAGGGTTAACGGCGGTACGCATCTACCTAGGTGTCTCCTCATTCACCTTTAGATGTGCATTCGATCAGGAGTTCATAATAACAAACTAGAAACGTTGCTTTTATTCACTACTGATTCGAAAGATGGAGTGCAAACTGCCATCCATAGGTTGGAAGTTGGGCCAGTGAGCATGTATTGCTGTAGATACAATAATGTAACCCAAACACAGGATAGGGTTACAACGCGAGCCTATTCTTTTCTTTGGAGGAATCCCTGAGTGAATCACTCAGGGCGGTTTTCTGGTGCGTTTCCAGAGACTAGAACTTCCAAACTGGGTTTATTCTCAACACGAACCTTTCTTCGCTATCCTGGAACTTACTATGTATCACAATACTCTGTATTAAACTAAAATACAAGAAAAGAATAGGCTCGCGTTGTAACCCTATCCTGTGTTTAGATTACATTATTGTATCTAGTATTGCTGTGACACAGTGATGTATTACGCATATGGCAGCACTTTAATGAAGTTTCAGAATAAAGAATTATCACTGTCTATTCTCTCACATCTACTGATAGATGCATTCTCTAGTCACATTCTAGACAGTCAACATTTTCACACCGATAGGAAAAATTAACGAAAGACCACGTATTGCCACCTATAGTCTTATGTAATGTCTATATACATAACCTGTAGCTAAGGAACACATTAAAGACATCCTCTAGAATGTGCTTATACCAACTCTATATGCTACAACAATCACTACTATACCTATTTGAAACACTGCACGATTCTCTCGGTATTTACACTATTATGCTTGCAACATATAACGTACCATAAGCAGCCAAAAATATAAAGGTGGATGTTTTCACTGTATGAAATATAAAGCAGATTATCAATGTACAGCAAACAAAAATCGAGACTATCGTATGCAACCAAAGATATATGGGGAGGTATGTTTTTACAGTACACAGAATGAAGTAGGGAAATTTGTTGCTAATGCAAGATTTGCTGCAAGAATTCATACTGGCTACATAATTTTAAACCTTCACCATGTGTAAAATGCGTTGAGCCTCCCACAGCCAGCAGTAGCATGATCCCTTTTACTATGTCACATACTAGCTACAATACTGAAATCGCCAGATAGTCCAAAAGCTTCAGCGGTGACTGACCAGCATGCTCCCTCCCATTTGTAAAAGTAATATCCTACTGAAAACGTCTAGGAATGGAACAGCTAAAAAAACAGCTGCACGTGCTCACTGCATAGCAGTGGCTAGCGGAATTAATGGCACTTCGACAATGTTTTAACAATACGTGAAATATCAATTTTATAACTACCGCAGTCTCAAATATCAACTATATGCTAAAATACAAACAGTAAATAGAAAAAAGTACAGTAATTGTGACTTTTCTGGCCACATTAACCTTGTTGGGTGAGTTCCTGTCTAGGTGTGACAGTGAATATATATTAACTCCCTAAAATGAGAAGCACCTAAGAAAGCTTGGAAGACGAACATTTGGATGGGATCATGTTTGTGAAATTTTAAATTGAACGGATACTGTTATCACTAGCAGAATCTAACTCTATATGTATATATATATATATATATATATATATATATATATATATTATAGCTATGTTGATATAAGCTGCGTTCACACGTATACACGGCTTAGCTGGTACCGTAGCTTAGTTGGTGCTAAGTCGGTTAAAACGCGTTCACACGAGATACACGAGATTCGAGTTTAGCTAGCGCGGTATAATATAGACTGGTACCGGGTCGACAGTTCCACACGCTACCCTAACGTCGTGCAGCGAACGGGTAGCAGTGCTAGGTTAGAGCGCCTGCAGTTTCGCAATTCGAATGCGTTCACACGACAAACAATACGCGGCCAGCGTGGTGCCGAATATACGCGGCTTAGTTGGCGCGGAATATGATTCCGCGCTTAGCAAGCCGGAGCATTCGCGGCTAAGCAAGCCGTGGCTAAGCAAGCCGCGTATATTTTAGCGTGTGAACGCAACTTTTCTCCTCGTGTGAACGCAGCTATATACAGCTAGAGCTCAAGTTCAAGTCAAGTTTACTTGTTCAAATGTGTGATATTTGTTGGCTAGCAAGATCGCTCGATGGTGTCGAGTGAAGCTCAACGTCTGCCTGCAATGTATAGGGGCACGCACCTCTATAAATCATCACATGTGATCTGGTGCAGGCTTCATATTTTAAACCATGCTTTTGAGACCCGCAATTCTCAAAATAGATGCTATGGCAGTAAAACCACTATCCTACGAACATGTTTTTGTTAGGTATTAATTTTACTCCCGTTTATATTTTTGAAATAAGTGAGAAATCCATGCCTTTTAGCATGAAAGTGTGACTAGGCATGAGACTTGACAGGTCTGCATATATTATACATATATACAAATATATATATATATATTGATACATTACGTGGCGTATAGTATGGGTAAGATGGGTGTGTAGAATATAAAATTCAGTACTGCTTGTATTGTTGCTGACGACTGCCATGAACTCACCGCATACAGCTGTAAGAGTGTCAAACATCTATGAAATAATCTTTTTAAAAAAGAGATTCAACAAAAAAGATCGATAGAAAAAGCCCAATAGAAACCTGTACAGCACTTTACAAAAACAGTTTAAAATTGTCACTTGCATTGCTGCTTGCATTCATAAAACGGCACCATGTGATAATTTTTAGAGTTCAAATAAGTGGATAAAATTTTTGTTTTTTCGCAAGTTTTGACCCATGGTTATCACACACGTATCCCAGAGCGTCACACATCTATCCATCAACAATGAACCCTAAGATGCATTCATCGCGGTTGTCATTCGCTAGATACAAATGGCGCAACCGGATAATATATCAGAGCAGTAACCCGCAAACCAGTCACTTTGGCCATATCAGAAAATAAAATGCTCATAAAACACGCGCGCACACACACAAGTATGTATGTATGTATATATATATATATAAATGTATATGCCAATAGTAATAGGAGGAAAATAACAGACTACGGTCGATACTTTGAAATGCGCATAGCATGGAACAAAGCATGGGATTTAAATTTTTATGTGTAAAAACCGCATAACACACGTTAGATAGGGAACAGCATACGTTAGATAGTGAACATGTTTCACTCCTCATTCTTCTTCGGTATGCCACACGTAGAAAAGGGCTCCGATAATGCAAACAACCAACGGTGGTGGCTTGTTATCATTACAAAACAATATAAACTTATTAAAAAACTGTTCTCCTATATACCACATAACAATCCCAGTAATAAACGCCTGAAGAATTCCCGTAACACACCCACTCACTGACTCACGTACATGCGCAACGCAAACGCAAACGACACGCTACTGACATTTCTGCAAATATGCTCATGGTCTGCAATTGAAAAAAACGTGACAAAATTGTTATCCTAATTATAGTGTGTGGTAGTTTTCCACGTGTAATATAATTACGAATATTAGTGCATGTACGTGAAGTAAACAATGCGAGTTGGCATGTTATAAGGTAACTTTACCCCAGGAGCATTTTTGTGACTATTACGCAGTATATAGGGTACATACACACTGTCAAACTCCACGACAGATGGCGCTCTCGCTCATGGGCTCAATCTACCACTGCCACAAGTAGATTTCGGTTACAATTTGTAACGCTTTTTTACTACAAGTTTTACAGCAGGCACGTTACTCGTATCCTATGTAATAAGATTTGGACTAATAAAAGTTGCAAAGATATTAAAAATCCGACCGATATTTCATGAAAAATTTGATAAAATAGTGATACGAAATAGTACGCGGATTGTGCGCCCATTTACCTCTTTCAAATCATACGCTGTTTACGAATCTCCATTCGCTGGATTTCCCCTGAGCTCCGCCCACTTTAAAAATAGTGCTAGCATTGTGGCAGTGGTATATTGAGTGTGCGAAGGGGCACTGCATGCAGTTTGACACACTGTTTGTACATGGATCTTTTATTTAGTAACGTTTCATTCTCTGATATGGTCGACGTGGGGGGGTGACCAGTACTGAGTACGCATACGTATTCATGGGAACGCTGCTGAAAGCCAGATAGATCACGCATGGCAAACGCGTATGAAGGTAAACGTAGAGTAGTGCCCGAAAACTGCCTGCGTTTCATAGAGAAACATTCCTTGTCACTCTCATTAACTGTACACTTGTACACTGGTCCACACCTGATGAGGGTGACCCTCTAACCCATCGTCACTCACTATGTCCGCCCGTCTTCTACTCTGCTACACTGGCTGCATGTGCAGCATGCCTTCTTGCTCAAGATCACGATAGGTTCTATTTTTCGTTTAAACCTCTGCAACAGGACAGATAGCAATATTTCTCTGCATTATGATTACTCCACCAGGATTACAGAACATCCACCTTGGGTCCTGCGAAGGTATGGCTATCCTAACACTTAACACTAATCACTAGTCGCCTAACAAACAAAATCTGTCTGATACCGGGACCAGGCATAGCTCTTGGGCAGCCTCGTATGAGAAGAGAGCAGCACGTGACAAGTGATAAGCCCACCCTGAAATCAGGTTAGAGCACCCCCTGCCTAGATCTGCACACTAATGCTAGAGAATGATGAATCCAGTAATGGGGGCCCAGTAGACATGTGCATCAGTGTTGACGAAAACACACAATGCAACCACACAAGTTCAGACCACCCACCACAAAGATTCTAAACCACCGACCACAGGCATTACTTTCAGAACACAAACCGCTCTGACAATTTCCATCTCAATGTTCAGCAGAATTGAAAACCAGATGCGTGAATTATAATTTAGAAAAATACGCTAGTTTCTTTACAGCCTAAACTCGATAGGAGCAAAAACAAGTTCATTTTTTAAACAGAAATTTCACCACGACTTCTCACGTGTGACATACGGATGATCGGTGATCGCTGTGCATGAGGTGCTGCTCGTTTTCAATGTACGACTCCACCTGCACGTCACCGCACCTGCAGCCTCCACGGAAAACATGTCCTCAGGCCCTGCAGAGACGCAAACACTACTTAGATGACTAAGGTAAGCATCTAAACTAACTCGCAGCGCGTGGGATGAGCCACTGTGGTTCTCCGAGTGTCACTCATCATCTGAGCGTACAGCAGACTTTCTACTTGCATTCCTCCATGCATACACAAAATTGTTTTTGGCTGCAGGCCAAGTGTGTCCTGATGCGAGCAGTACTTTCATGTGGTTTATTTTGTGCCCTATAATGGGAAATGGAAAAACCAGTCTACACACAGTGGCGACTTTATACTAGTTTCCTTCCTGGAGCAAGGAAGACTAATACTCACTGTACGGTATCAAGTAAATATTGACTAGTTTTCTTCTCAACTAGCCTTGATCGATTTCCTTTTTTGTAATTGCGACATCGTAAATCTGTTAAACCAACATCGGTGGTGTAACTAAAGTAATTATTTTCAAATGATTGCTGCAATCAATGCCCAATCTCGAAGAAATATAGCGAAACATAGTGACCCCTAATAGTAAGTCCCACCTAATAGAAGATGTTACTTATAGTTATTACACCAACTCGAAAAACGCTAAGAATTTATATGCTATTATAGCACACAACAATTAGAACTGAATATGTCATAACACCATGGCATATTGTATTATAGTGACAATTAATTTGCAAACGAGGCCTTCAAATTAAGTGCCCCCAATTGAAACAAAGGGGCATCTTATTCTGTCTAGTGAACGCGGTGCGATTTTTACAATACTTATCCCTGGACGATGTCACCAAAGCCGCAAAAAGAAATGGTGGCGGAAATCAAAACGAGTAATCAAAATTTGAATCGTGCATGTTTTTGTGAATATAGCTAAGTACGACAGTTCTAAGATGTATTAGCGTTACTCTAGATAATTGCTGTTACTAAAGCAATAACGGTAAGTATCGTAAAAGTGGAGAAAACACGAGACTAATCGGAAATAATTTTAGAAATCCTCGTTTTAATAGAGCTCATATAGCACGCGACAGACCCATCCCAGAACCAATTATCTACCCCCAGATTGCAGCTTCATGCACATATCGTCTCAATTGAGCCGCAGTCCATCCTACTTATCACCACGCTACCACATAGGTGGCGCTTTCACGCACCAAGGTCATCCTCTGCATCTCCACATCCACAGCTATCTACATCACCCTCCCCCCACACACACATACACACACACTTGACCCTATATCATCTACCTCTGACCCAGGGTAAAAAATACTATTTTTTTCACTAGAGCCATTTTTCTGACTTGTCAAAAATTTACCAGAGCCATTTTTAGTTTCAATTTTTTTTTGCCATGCCATCCCGTCCCATCGCACCGCATCCCATCCCATCCCATCCCATCCCAAACAGTAAAAAACAATAAGAAATCAAAAGATAAAAAACATTAAAAATTAAAAATTAAAATTAAAAAGTAAGAAATTGAAAATAATACATACTAAAGAGGTAGGTAAAAGGAAAAAAAAAAAAAAGAAGAAGAAAATAAGTTCCGCAGCTGGGACTCGAGCCCGGAATCCCGGTGTAGGAGACGGATGTTCTAGCGATTATGCCACTGCGCCGTTAAGGGTATACACCATGGATTCACACGTATGTGATGTTTTATTCTGTACGCACCGCCATCTATTGATGAATAGAATTTTTATCTATTTTTAACTTTTTAACTTTTTTAAATTTTTGTTTCAGCCAGTACCACCTCCCAGACGTGCTGATTCTGAAAATATATTTAGTTTTCCTCTAGGCCACGGAGTTCTCTAGTTATGCGAGTACGGACCAATTCGGCTGAACAACTTTATATATATAGATTACTACATATCACTAATAACACTTGTAACTCATGATCCAAACATCCTTTGAATCCATTCGCATTCACAATGCCGCCTCCGAAGCTCCAACACCTCTGACCTCTCCCATCTTCTAAGTTCTATCATAGTACCATACTACCATTCTGTCCACCACTCCCCTTCTCAGTTCTCACTCTTCTCTCTCTATATGTACACATGCTTCACTAGTCACTACTTCTAGATTGCTTATTGTTTTGTTACTCTGTAATAAACATACAGAATGAACCACGTTATCTTTTCGTTTGGATGCAAATAAATGTGTTTTTATATAAAAATACCACTGTGCAGTTGTTTGTTTCTTTTTTCAGTCTCAAAATAAGAAAGTACACGGTTAATTTGTCACAGTCTCACAGAGATGTGTGCCTGTGAGTCTGTGACATCACATCACATCTGTCAGCATATAGTTTATCATCGACTATCATTCATAGTTTCAACAGACAATGTATGAATGCTATTGTCACCACATCATTGCAGATTAATACAAGGCAAGAGCTGGATTCAGCTGGTATTATTGTCAAGTTAAATTTAAATATGAATGAAAGTATCAACAGTTTCTAGTTCTACACTCTGCTGTATAACTTTTATTATCAATTGTATTTTATTATGTGTCAGCAGGTTGATCTAGCCAGCGTCAGCTGCAGCGGATACATAAGCTGGGTTTACACTGACGATTTTGAGTTGACGAATTGTACGAACTTGGCAGTTTGGCAACTTACAATCGCCAGTGTAAACGCAAAAGTCGCACGTCCAGCCGATCGATAGCAGCATTTTTAGAACATGTTCTAATTTCCCTAACTCGGAGCAGGCGAGTTGGACGTCGTTTTGCCAAGTGGCCAATCAGACAACAGCAATCAGGGGTGTGTCTCTCCACCCTAGGGGGAGAGCACGTTTTTGCTGGCGGCATGTAATACATGCAAAAATGCATATCCACGTCAGTCGTCAGTGTAAACCCAGCTTAAGCCGCTGCTGCATGCACGGTGTATATGTAGCGCTCGCTGTACGTACGTACTTGTGTACATTTCAATTTATCAGGCCACGGGAGCGATTTTCTCTCGCGCGATCGCTCCCGTTATTGTTCTTACCAGAGCGATTTTAGAGCTTACCAGAGCGAAATCGCTCGTCGCTCCCGTGTATTTTTTCCCCTGCGCTGACCTCCATTCAGCTGCTCCTACCACCAACCTAGAATGTGCACACACCTAGCACCTAGTACGCCACACCGTTCTCATCAACCATCCACCTAGGACCCTCCCAGCCGACCGCATCAGACACCCGGGACCCGGCTCGCGGTCGGACTCTCGTCGTCGCGACAAGCCGCCGCCTCCGCCGCGCAGCGTACCTACGAGTTGTGCGGCTCTGTGCGGTAGTCGGTGTTCGCCTCGTCGCAGTACTCGTTCATGTCGTCGCTGCCCGCCGTGTTCTGCCGCATCATCGCCACCGTCGACGGCGTCGTGTTCAGCCGCTTCACGCTCGCCGGGATGTTCGCCTCCACCTTGACGATCTTGAAGTAGCGCAGCAGCGCGACCACTGGGATCGGCAGGCAGGTGGAGAGCGCGATGCAGGCGGCGATCACCATCGCCCACCTCGGGTACGGCTGAGACTGCACTACCGCCTGTAGCAACATACACAAGCATGGTTAACGTCTGCTGCTGCTGCTGCTGCTGCTGCTGCTGCTGCACTACCGCCTGTAGCAACAGACACGAGCATGGTTAACGTCTGCTGCTGCTGCACTACCGTCTGTAGTAACAGACACAAGCATGGTTAACGTCTGCTGCTGCTGCACTACCGCCTGTAGCAACAGACACAAGCATGGTTAACATCTGCTGCTGCTGCACTACCGCCTGTAGCAACAGACACAAGCATGGTTAACGTCTGCTGCTGCTGCACTACCGCTTGTAGCAACAAATGTGAGCACGGTCACTTTGATGTCACGCGGTCGTTCAGTATTTCTCATTCCACATCTTGCAGAAATCCCAAAGAAACGGGGCACATTTAGTGATTTACTCGTTAGCCAGATCACACGATAGGTGCTACATACAGCTATTTCTACGACACAATAACAATATTTCAGTAATGGCATTTGTGTTATCTTTGTTCGAAATCTACACCTAGCATGTCTTACAAGTTCTTTATTGTAGGTACTGTAGGAAAATGGCTTCAGTGCAGAGCTGACTATGCTGGCTACGACAACAACCAGGATGATTACTGGGCTGACAAACCGCCAGGTGGCCTGCCAGAATATGCCAGGCCTGATCCCTGTCATTTCCTCAAGATCGTCAGAAAACCTTCAAAAGCAAACATCAGATATAAACCACGACACCTTTGCCCACACCTTGGGCAGTATCACATTTAAACAAGTTATTGAATGCTTGTGAATATCTGCTCAATACAAGTGTATTTTGATAAGGGAGCAATCACAATGCAATTTCATGATTGTTTAACCACACCATATCACTTCTCACACCTCAATCACCACATGATGCTCCACCGCTCCCCATCCATCTCCACATCATGGCTCCACCTCTCCCTATGCATCCCCACATCACGACCTAGCGCTCATCTACTATTATGCCAGGTTCCCCTCCCTCCTCCATTAAAACAACATGTTCCACCATTTCATTACCACATACCGTTTCCATCCGTATATGTAGATAACCCCGATCATCTCCATGAATGCGACAACAGACAGCCCGAATGATGCGCTGAACGTGTCGAACAGCCCGACCCAGTACTCTCCCGCACACGTCACGAAGATCATGCCAACTAACAGTGCCGTACTACACACGACAGCTACAAGAGTAAGAAACGTACTTTTAGCCATCGGCGTCTAGAGATGGCATTTTCACACACCACAAACAATGAACAGACTTCGGCAGCAAATAGCTAGCTAGTACAGTCACCCCCGCAGTCATCCCAACCATGAAAATGTCCAGATTCAGTAGTTTTTGGGGGTTAAGCGATGAACACATTTCCAGTCCCACATGCATCCCTGCCTACTTTTATCTCATGCAATCGTCGCTAATTATTTAAAAACCGCTGAAATTTCAAAAATTCTCAATTTGTTATTAAGTTTATAGGATCAGTTTACAACGTTCACTTAAGAAAAAAGGAAATGTGTTCTTAAGGAAATTATTGCATAGTGTCAACACTGCTCCGGTGACAACCCCGAATTTCCTTCGGGCATCATCGATTTGTTTTGTGGCATGTGACATGCTCTGTGGCAATTACAATGTGGTAATTTTATAGCCATACAGCAATGCAAATGTTTACTGTAATTTGTATTAATTGTGACTCCTCTGCAATATTATTGTATGTGTAATGTAAAGTTAATATTGATCATATACTTCTAAAATAATAATGAAAGTGTCAATCAATGACACTGTAGCTCACCTTGGGTGTGATAGAAGAGAGAGGGGGGATATATAAAGCAAGAGTATATATGGGAGAACTCCCATTATATAGCATATCTCCCATTATATACTCTTGATAATAATATATGCATAAGTATTGATGCGAAAATAAATGTTTCAGATCTGAAAGTCTGAAATCTTGACGAGAGATGGTGCTATGCCTAAATGATCGCCATTTTGGTTTTCGAATATCGCGCAAATAAAAACAATAAAATATTCCAGTCAAATTACTGTAACGAAGAATCTAAAACACAATATTACATGTACGTATATATAGATATGATTGTAGAGTTGTTAACCACTTAGACGAAATAAACGTAATATGACGTCGTCATTTATCCATTTGGGAGTAACAACTGTTTTGGGGTTAGCCTTGCATATTCACATACCAAAATTTAACAAAATCGAATGAATTTAGATGGCCATTTTCATTTTTGCCAAAAAGTGGGCGTGGCTCAAAAGTAGGTCGACTGCCGTGCTCCAAAATAGGACGTTCAAATCTCTCCCATAGAAGTAACAACTGTATGCAATTTGAAACATGTGGGTCAATCGGTTCTTGAGTTATCGTTGACC